AATGTTTGAAAACGAAATACCTAAAAAGAAAAAAGAAATTAAGCAAAAAAACATTTTGGACATTAGTATTATTCAAAGCTCACTTTAATGTATCCTCTCGGGGGTAATCCCTAGAATATTTTGACAAACATAAAATGAAATTTAAGTGGAATTCAATTTTAGCCTCATCAGAATTCCAAAATTACATTCAAAAATACAACTCTTCAGTAGTACAACCAGATAAGATAACATGTCATATAATGTTATGTGTCTAGTTCGTTAAAAAAAAATTGCTACATAAGCATACGAAGTAGTTGTTTCGTATTCATCGTGTAACGTGCTTTAACGAGAATGTTGATACCACGTATATGAACAATACGTCGTGAGAATTTCCCAGAACATCAACTATCATACCTTTGGTTCAGCAAGTGCATCAGCAAGCATATGACAACCCATACTATCCACCGGGGCATCCCAATTACTTCGCATTTGCTTGATATTTTCCAAATGTTTCTTCCATAAAGGTAGTTCTTCCATTTCAGCAATCCCGAGCTCATATCCGTCTGAAATATTCAGTTATAATCAGGATGAAAAATGCAAAGAAAATCGAAAATAGGCAATACCTTTTGAACAGTGCTCTTCTTTATCAAATACTACTTTGATCACTTTCCGACGTTTCTTTACCGATGCTGCCATCATTCGAAATATAGACCCAAAAACGATTCGTTCTCCTATCCTAAAATATAAACTTGAAATTTACTGTGCCGGAATCTAACTTCAAGACCAGAGTCATAAAGTATAACTTATAATTACAGGTAATAATGAACAAATAATCAATGGACGAAATCCGAAAATGTTTCAGTTGAACAAAAAATTTTCATTGCAATCCTGGTCATCGTAATCTAACAAATCTAATGAGCCGAAAAGTTGAACTGGTAATGACGAGCGTGTTTAAGTAGTACTGTTTGGAGTTCAGTGGTAAATCCGAATTTGTGAAGTTCAGACTTTGAATTTTGGATTTACGAGTATTACTTGAAGAAAAAAAAAATGTTTTTTACAAATTGTTGGCAAAGTAGATGATATATGAACTTCCTTCCTTTTTTTTAAGGTCAAAATCATCACACCGATGCAAACACAATTAACAGAAACGAGTGATATTTTCAGTTTGTTAAAAGTGTTGGATGAATTAAAGCATTTGAAAAGGACTGGGTGGACGAAATTTAATGTTAGTTAAGTTTGAATTTTCTTTTTTTGAAAATTTTCATTCATGGTACTTCGTTGTTTCATTCGATGAGTTTTTGACGCAACAAATTACAAACAGGTACTATTTTTTTTACTGAATTTATTCCAGAAATGCAATTATTAGGTAGACAGACTTATTGCATAGCTCTGCTTAATTTTTTCTTTTAGCATTTATGAATGCTTGAACAACATGTGATGAAACGTGACCAAATGAATTATTTTGTTTAAATGAAGTGTTTTACGTTTCATGAATTACTGAAACTTGAGTGAATAAATGAATTATGTAAATGAATTATGGAATGAATTGAATAAATGAATGAAATGAATTGAAATGGAATAGCAAATACCCATGAATTATAGAATGAATTAAATGAAGTGAAAACGAACTATCAGATGAATTATTTAGCAATGTTTTACCGTCAAAAAAATTTTAGATTCCGGAGCCGGAAACAGTAGCTTGTCATATGTATCGTATGGCAGTACTTGCAATGCTAATGAATGGTGATTGTGATCGTGCTAAATGTATCAGGATGACATTGGTGCACGATTTAGCTGAAGCTATTGTGGGTGATATTACTCCACACTGCGGTATTTCAGCTGGAGAGAAGCATCAGTTAGAAGATGAGGTTTGTTTTCCTGAATTAAAATCACATGTATGGAACTCATAAATCATAATTGGATGTTAAGTGAAAATAATCTTCGCTCTGGTCTACTGGTTAACACGGCACTGCTAGAGATATAGTGTGAAAAAGGATATTCGATCCATCTCCATTTCATTTTGCAAGTCTGATCATTACTTCATTTACAGGCTATGAAGAAAATTATGGAGATGGTACCATTGACAGCTGGCGAAGACTGGTATTCACTGTGGCAGGAATATGAAGGTAGTGAAACCAAAGAAGCTAAAATTGTCAAACATTTGGATAAATTCGATATGATCGTTCAAGCTTTTCACTATGAACAAAAATACGGGGCAGGTTAGTGTATGTGTATTCGATGCAACACTTTATTTCTGACCTTCATTGATTCTGTTCTCTTTTATATAATAGCTTTTTTAATTTTTTCTTCATGTGTCGATGCGGTGCCCAAAAACTTCCACCGCTTTGGAATGAATACCACAGCATACTTAAGATGAAAATTTAAATTACACCAAATACTAGACAATACTGACTTTACTAATTGTTCGATAACACTTACAGTTCCGAACTATAACCAATAACTTGTTTCATTCTTGGAACTTTATATTTGTAAAAATGTTCTATCTTACAGTAAATATTTGTGATATTTCCCTGAATAAATTGGACTAAGATATCAAATCCATGGTTGGAAATAATGATATCTTATAGTGTCGAAATAACTACAAAATACATTTCTGGAAGCTCAAATAAACTGAAAAGACATATATGCATGTTGGATTACCCACCTAATTCTTCTTTTTTTTTTGTTTTAGCTTATAATTATATTTTAATTCAGTTTAAGATTTGGAAGAATTCTTCACAGCAACAAAAGATTCATTCACTATGGAACCTTTTATATCATGGAATAATGAGTTACGGATGAAGCGATCTTTAAAGAAAAACACAAAGCAAGAGAATAATTGATGTATTATTGGTTTTTTGTCTTGTTGCAACGACTAACAGTTATTTTATAAAGCTGTTAATTTATGTAATCTGTTTTTCTTTCTTAAATTTTTTCATGCCTCTTTTTTATTTAAATCGAGGTTTGATATTTAATTTTGCTTTTTTATCCGACCATATCGAGTTATAATTCGTTATTAGGATCTTTCCTGTTGTTAAAATAAATATTTCTTGAATGATGTCTTTCTGATGTAATGCTGTGAATGGGCCTCCTCGTTCCCTTTATTATTAGTAAAGTGCTGTTAGACGATATTAAATCAGCGATTTTAGATATAGAGTGAGTTGTGATATTATAGTTTGATGATCGTTTTTATTTTTTCATCTTTGGCTAGTCAGAAATCCAGAAGCTTTTTTTTTAGCTCTAGACATGGGAAAAACGAGGAGACTTGATGGTGATTCAGTTCTTGGTGAAACGGATTCGAGCGATACTGTTCTAAATTCGAATGCTGTCACTTCGACTAGTTTATGTAGTATAGGCAAAGATGAGTATGATGTTTGGTTGATCAGGAAGCCCACAAAGGTTTGCCTTTTCATACCTTTTTGCAAAGGTTAAATTTGTTGGCGACATTATCGCTAAAGCTGTTAGTCTTATTGACTTGTTGTTTCAATCATGGATGAATCATTCTTGCGGAATGAATTTTTAGCTCATCTTATTGCTGATGACTAACCTTTTCTATCGACTGGATAACCAGCGGTTGTAATGGGTGAAGTGAATTGCTGGTTGTTATTTCGGGTAGCTTCTTTTGGGAAATCTATGCTTGTATTCAATTATCCTAGTTCTTAGAAGTTTGTTGCATGAAATGATTACACAGATTTAATAAAGTCGAAATAATATTAATTGTAGATTCCGTTGAGTGATTTGTCGTCGATCAAATTTCCTCACAAAGCCAAGAATCGAATAAGACTTGCAATTCCGTCTCGATCCGATGCAGTACCACTGAACTGCCATTTTCGCCATTGTGCTTTACCCTATGTTTATATCCCAACTACTGGTATTAGAACTCAGAAGGATGCTATGACACTCAAAGCCAGTTTGGTTTTTTTTTTTTTTTTGGTGAAATCGTTTACTTTTTGTGCTTATGGTGAGAGTATTTCTGACATTGAATTCTTGTACGATTATTAGTCGTATACGCAGAACTATTTTTGACCCCATTACTTAACTTTCACATAGATGGAAAAGGATTCATCCAGTTGCATAAAAGAAAATGTTGGGAAAGTTTAACTCGACTTATCTCTTTGTTTCTTCTCTGCCAATTTTCACAAAGGATTTGTAAAGATTGATTAGAGAATTGATTTTATTTAGGTTTACTTTAATTATTACCTGGATGTTTTAAATATCTTTTTCAAAGTACCGCGAAATTTCAGCAAATTTGGTGAAAGGAGTTGTGCTAGTGAACGAGAAACTCGATTTTTTAGATGATATTCTCACGAATGACGATAATATTACTGTCAAACAAGAACCTGGTATGCCTAAATCATACGTAGCACTCTCAAAGTCGAAAGTCGTTACTAGCTAAATCATATTTTAACAATATGACTCTTAATTTTAATTCTAGGTTTTTGTTTTTAGGTGTGCCGTTGGAAAATGGGATACATGAGATGAATTTCAGAATTCATTCAATTCGCAAAAAGCCGCACTTACCAGTTGATAATATAAAGCAACGATTGAAACCATTTGGCATTATTCCTAAAAAGAAAAAAAGTTGTAAACTCCCAAATTTGATCAATTCTTAATGATAATTGGGATTGTTCTTGTTACATTACCTTATATGAATAAAAGTAAGCAAGAAATTAGTGAAATTCACGGAAAAATCATGAGAGATCTGTCACGCTGAATGAAGTAATAATGTTGATGTTATTGCCAAAGTATGAAAGGTATATAACTACCACATAAGATTCTCATTTTTATCTTCATGATATTTCCTTTCCTCTGGAAAAAAAGCCAAATTACTGAAAGCTTAATTAACAATCAGATTAAAAAAAAAAAAAAAAAACGATTCAATAATACGAGATGTGAATACCTTCTTTCCAAAATGAGTATTTTAAGCTACTTTACAATCTATGTTAAATATCTAAATACTTCTAATATTTTCGATTATTTTTCGTTATATAACAACAATTATCCCATCCTTCCCCTTAATTATCATCATTATTTTTACTTTTTTTCAGGTGAACTGCAATTTAAATGTAAAATTGCAAAATTTCATACTTAAAATTCCTTTCCATCTTTTCCATTCTCTCTTAGGATAACAATAATTAAAATACTTAATATGCCATATTGATGAATGAATCGTTGTTTTTAGTATTTTGCATGATTACATCCCCAATAAATCTTAATCTTATCCTATGCACTATACTTCTTCCCTTATCTCTTTCTTTCTTTCTTTCTCTCATAGATTTTTTGATCTGTTGTTTGATATCTTTCTTTCTTTAAATAAAAAAAAAAAACGAAAAAAGAAAGGACAACAAAGTTTTAACTTTACAATCTTTCGCTGCTCATCCAGGTTGAACAGTTTATTCCTATCTTGCTTAGATATGTATATGTATGTATATGTGTGTGTATGTGTATATGTATGTATATGTGTGCGTGTTGTATGTGTGTGTGTATGTGTGTGTGTGTAGATGTGTGTATGTGTGTGTATATGTATGTCTGTATGTGTGTATGTATGTGCATGCGTGTTGTGCATGTGTGTGCGTGTGTGTGTGTGTGTGTTGGTGTTTGTGTGTGTGTTATATGTGTGTATGTACGTGTTATGTGTGTGTGTGTGTGTGTGTGTGTATGTATGTATGTATGTATGTATGTATGTATACATATAATTACATGTCTGTGGATGCTTTAAAGCAAGCATTTAAAATCTCATTTCATTGATTGCGCTAAAGAAAGCATAAGAATACCCTCTATTTTGTTAGTGGAAATCATAGCATATGGTAGATTGATTGATTGATTGATTGATAAGCAGATAAATAGATCGATAGATCGATAGATTGATAAATAGATGAGATGAAAAGGATGTAGAAATGAAGAAAGCTAAACTAATCAAAGTGAATTATTCATATCATTCCTTTACCATAATTACAAAATATTTGTAAAATCATATTGATGACAAATATTCCTTTTCATTTCAAAATTAATCATTAATGATTTTAATTAAATTTGTTTATTTTTCTTTCCAATTTATTCTTTCCGAATAAAAAACGATTAAAAAAATGTTCTTTTTCTTCGTTGTATGTATTTAATAATTTGAATTTGAAAAAAAAAATTCTGTTTTTTTTTTGGGTATAACAAATTTTGTTAGCATAGATTATTGATGTATTTGAAATGTAAGGAAAGAAAAAAATTTCGATTCACAACTTTTTTTTTTCATCTTTATTAGCATATTCAAAATTTAAATTTATTTTTAATTTCCTTTTTTTATTTTTGAAATTTTATTTAGGCATATTATTTTGTTGAATAATAATTGAATGAATGAAACAAAGAATGGGTTGAATTTTGAAAAAAGCTAAAATTAGCAAAAGAAAATGATAATGATGAAGAAATAGAAAAGTGTATTAATCAATCAACACCATATAACCTTAAAAAAATAATAAAGAGATTTATTTCTTGTTTAATTACTTCCTTAAATTAACTATTTAGGGTTTTTCCTGATTGCAATTTTCGGAAAATGTTTTTGAAAAAAAAATTTTTGTTTTTGAAATGTTTTTGTAAAAAAAAATTTTTTTTTTTTTACTATTCCGTTTAATATTTTTCATCATCTTACCTCAATGAAGCATTAACCATAAGTAATTTGTGTTCATCTTTTCGATATTAATTACTACTACTTTATCATTGTACTCATAATAAATGATTATTAATAGCTAATTCTTTTTATCAATATCACTATAAGGATTTTTGTTTTTTTATTCACAAATCTTTCTTCCTTAAGAATACAAAATATAATAAAAAAATCATATTGCTAATGCAAAATATATCTATCTATATTTAATTGATATCAATTAATTTAACGATTTAAATAAGTTTAAACGTTAAAACTATGAATATTTTATTTATCAAATTCCATTAATGTTAATTAATATTTCATTCCTTTTTCGCTCAAACATTATAACAACACTTCTTTAATTTTCTCCTAATAATTTCAAATTTTAAAAATTATAACAATTTAAATTGTTAAATGAGAAAACAAATGTAATTGAAAAGAAAAAAAAGAAGCAAAAAAAAAATGAATGAATGATTGTTGAGAGAAAAAATTTTAACAAATGAGAAAATTTAACCATTCGCTAATCATTTTATTATCATTATACAACTTCTTATCATACTTATCCGTTTAATTATTCCACACTATTTTAGTTACAATTTTTTAAAGATTAATTATAAAAATTTCAACGATTAATTTTTTTAATTACAATTTTCTTTGCTACTTAGTTATTAATTCGAAATCAATTTAAAAATTAAAAACAAAGAAAATCAATGCCTTGTTTGCGAAATTATTCAAATCAAATAATCATGCAATTATATTTTCCCCTTTTATTTTCATCATTTCTACTCTTATTACTTTATCCTACTTACTAGTAGTCGTATTAGTAAGACTAGTAAGACTAGACTAATATAAGACTAGTCTTACTAACTCGTCTTTCAAGTTTTAAATCTAGACTTGTTTACTATCATCAAATTTATGGGAAGCTTAGAGAGAAAATCATTCAACATTTGTTCGATCATAAAAACTTATCATAACTATTATATTCTTTGATTTGTTATGTTCGAATATAATGAATTTTACACAATCCTTTCCTTCTTCCTCCTCTTCCTTCTCCTCTTCCTCCTTCTTTTTTCTTCTTCTTTCTCCTTTTTTCCTTTTCATTTCCCTCACCTTCGTTTTCTTCCTTCATCATCATTCCTCCTTCTTTTTCTTTTTTCTTTTTTTTATATTCCTCCTCAATTACTTCTCAATTACTTCTTTTTCATAAAATTATTTTTCAATCATCCTTTTTCTTTTTTTTTCATATATTCCATCGCTATGAGTAAATATTCAAAAGAAGGGAAAAGAAATTTCCCAATGAATATTTTAAAATTTTTAATGCCAAGAAAATGCAAAAATAAAAATCACTGTAATTTTTCAACAATTTATTTTTTCTTTCCTTTTTTCCTTTGTTAAAATCCCTTTATCAATTCCTTTTTTTAATCAAAGAAAAAAAGAAAATAATAATAAATTTGGAATAAATTTAATTTGCAAATTTATACATTTAATTTGTTTACTTATTAATTCGATTATTGAATTTGCTATTCTTTCATATTAATAGTAATAATAATAATAATAATGTAAAAAAATATTTGCATATATTATTATTATTATTATCATTATTATTATTATTATTATTATTATTATTATTATTATT